CCCCAAAACCCCAAAACCCCTTGCAGCATAACATAGGCTTATCTTAAGTATTGAATTTTAAATAAAATAGTAATGTCAAATTAGGTGGTGTCAATTTTATTATGTTCGAAATAAACTTTATAATTTATACTCATGTTTCATAACTAAAATACAAATTTCCTTTATTTGAGCATGCTATAATTTCTATTATACTAAACTCTTTATGAATTATCAAAATCTTCATTATTTTCAAAGACTTCTTTAATTGAATTTTCTTTGTTTTTAATATTATCCTCATCATTATTAGCATTGAAATTTTCATTTTCATCTACTTAGTATGAATCATTTTTTTATAATGCAAAAGGACTAATGGAAGTTTCAAGAGTATTAAAGCTAAAAGAAGAGCGAAGTTCATTAACTTTGATAGTTTTTATTTAATGAGATTAATCTTCCTTATTTAAATCTGTAGATATTTGATCCTTATATTTTTCGTATGCCTTTCTTCTTATAACAGTAATGAAATGGTTAATGATATTTTTTGTCTTTTTTACAACTTTTCTCATAGTATTAAACGATAATGTGCAAAGATTAAATAGAATCTATAGGAGAATTATTATACAAACTGAAAATCCAGCATCATATTTTATATCAAAGTCTGTTACATAATCAGAAAATATAATGAAGTGGTAGAAAATCAAGAGCTAAAAGCACTCATTAATAGCATCTATATAGTTAAAAATTTTCCGCTTGAAAGGTTTAACTTTGATAATATAGATTAGTTGAAGGACGCTGAAGATATGAATGTACTAAATAATCAAAAATGTATAACTCTCATCAAGAAAAACTACCATAGCAATGAATATGATTCTTCTAACTAGGAAAGATATATTGTAAAACATGGCAAAAGCACAATCTAACTTGATCCCATCATAAAATGATCCGAATTTTTGCTGATTTTCCTTAGAGATAATAACTGAAAAATACTTTATCGTCAGATAAGTAATAACGAATGGTAGGGCAATTGAAAGTGAAAAGTAACTTAAACTATACAAAATTGAGAAAACTTCAGAAAAATTATCCCAGTACATCTATTTGTATTAATTCATTAATTTACGCATTTGATGTTAATGCAGGCGCTAGTAAAGTTTTCCATGAAAGTCTCAAGATAAAGTCTAATTGCCAAACTGTGAAATGTCTTACTCTTGATAAAATTTAATCCTTTTGATAAAAATCTTAGCTTTATCAATTTCCTTCTGTATGAAATAATCAACTTAAAAAACTTTACTTTGATATTATTTTGTCAACATAACTAGAAATATACAATAAAATGTAAATCAAAACGGCTAAATTCATTAAGAAAAATGGAGTTTGTGTATTTTAAATTACATTTAAACTTCCATAACTTGTTGGTTAATTATCAAGCAAAATGTTTTAATTGGTAATTTCAAAAGATATCTACATCTTAAAATCTTTAATTCAATTAGTTCTTATCTCTAAAATTAAAAACTTTTCTATAAGAATCAGAATCTGGTAATATCTAGAGTTGTGCAATTTGAATCAAAACATTGAAAAAGTATATCATATTTCCGGGGAAATTTAGATTCATAATAGTAAAGTGTAAAGTATATTAAAGAGAATTTATCATACTCCATAAAAACGACAAAGTTGTTTACCTTGAAAGTTTAAAGAAATAAGTTACATTAAGAGGTTTAGAAAGAAGTTTCCAATCAAAATTGATTAAAATGAGCTAGTTCCTTAGCTTCCAATTTACTTGAGATAATCAGTTGCGACTGTAAATTTTTATTTTTAATAAGATATCATACCATCATCTTTGGCTTAAGAAGGCAGCGATCCTTCAATAGTTAGAAATTTTTACATGAATTTCTTGGATTTTTACCCAATAAAAAATCCATTCAGGTTAAATGTTATTTGAATCTTGTCATCTCTCTAAAATGAATTTTCAATATTAAAAATCTTACAGACTTCTCTATATTTTGATTATCCACATAGTTTAATTTAAGTTTCATTTTACTGCTATCTAAATATATAATTTTCCAATCTATTTCATTAGTTGTGATTTACTACTAATTAATTTATTCTTGAAGTATTCTTCTATTTTGAGACTGTGATGTTTAACTGCTACCATAGTTTAATCCTTATTAGTTAGCGTTTGCTCTCTTTACAGACAAAACGACATCACTAAAGTTCTTATAGCTTGTTGGAACGATTATATCAGTGCCAAAGCTGATTGTAACTTCGCCAAAATAGTTAATACTTTCTATTTTGGGTTTTATCTACAAATCATATATTTATGATGTTTAGTTAAATAGTCTTAATATGAACTAGCTTCTCTTATCTTTAGGGGAAATTTCGTAATATTCTTTAAAAACGGATTAAGGGAAATTTATTTTTACTAAATTCTCATAATCCCAATCATATTTATTATCTTTTGTAAGAATGTAGTACTTAGCTAATTCTGGGTCATCAAAAGGATTATACTCGGTAGAAATAGATTGAACGGTGATATTAAAGACATACCTATTCTTCAACAAAATAACTGATTTGTCATAAAGGAATATTTCTATTTCATAAATACCAACTTAACTGCTTTTGATTGGATAAATGTATATGCTTTGATTTCTCTTCATATATTTTGAAAAGGAACCTGCTCCTTTAAGATTTACTTAGATAAGGTAGCCGTGAAGAGAATATATTTAAATCTTGGGTAAGCTTAAGTTTCACATTTAATTTAATGGCTAATTGAAGTTTGACAATATTCCGATGAATTCTGGAGCTTTTAGTTGGTATTATACTGTAAGATTTATTTGAAGTATTTCTGCTATTTAATCAGGTATTTTACCAGTAATTCTTATTTGATATTGGCCTGCATTTGATAATTCATTGGTTTATACTCTAAGAATTCCGTTAGATTCATCAAATTTCATAAAATCCCTAAGAGCTACCAAATTTTGATTCTCTACTAGCTAGGCTTTATAATATCCTTTGGGTGGTATATCATCGCAGTTGTATTTAAAATTTCCGATATTTGCTAACTCTAGCTTTTACGTACCTATTAAGTATGTCTAACTCCTGAAATTTGTAGCTTTAAAATTTGTACAGAAACTATACAAAGATTAATCCATCATTTTAATCTCGAATAATCCAACATTTAAAATTGCAAAATCATTGAAATCTAAGTTAGGGAAAGGGCCTGTTGATGTTTTAAATTTAACATCGATAAATAATGATGCAGATTTTAATTTTTAAATTTCCACATCAATCTAGCTTTGCATTTCAATTGAGAAGCAGGAATATGAATCATTTAAGCTCAATAGGTATCCTTTCTTAGATTTTAAAGAATAGGATAATCCATTTTTATTTATTCTGTTCACATATCCTACTAAAAATCCTTCTTTTTGAATAGTAATTTAGCTCATTTTAAAGTTGAATTAATTATTTCCTAAATTAAGGCTTGATAATACCTTAAGTTTGCTGGTGGAAAATTGTATCTGAACCAAACGAACTATGACTGGACTATTTTAAGAAATAGTGATCATTAAAACATCTAAATCATCAAAAATTTAAATTGCCTAGCATTCTCCATAAGTTTTAACATCATATTACCAATACTTAATGTCGTAGGGTTTATTTTATTTACCTTTAAGAAAAATAATATATCTAATATTCGAAGAGAGATCATAGGAAGCAGTACAAGCAGCTAAAGCATCTTTTGCATTAAATAGAGCTAGCTTTTAGAAATATTGATTAGGAGTTACACTCTGAAAAATATTCATTCCAAATAATTACTAAGGCAAAGTTACAGTAAAAAATGACTAAATAGAAGCGTAGTAATATTTATTAGTAGCAGAATACAAGGAGCCACTTAGATAGATAGTCATACCATCAACAAGCAAACTAGCCATTTGTGTTTTTGAGGAATCTCTTGTCAGCACATATCTTAATGTGGAACCAGTAAGAGTAGTATCAAAATTTATCACTTTTTACAGATTATGTTTTTCTTCATTAACAAGGAAAATTACTTTAGGATATATATAGTATAAATCTTAAACTGAAGAGTCAGGTTCTAATAATTAACTTTAATAGGCTGAGATAATATCTCCATCGAGTAATACATCTCCTATTACAACGCTTATTTAATCATTATAAAAAGCACCTAGCTAGTTATTTCCGAGAATTATAGCAGCGTAATAATCCTTATATTTATTGTCTAATTTGATTTAAACTACATTCCCTTGAACAAATACATTGAATCTATTTTTCCATAATTAAAGCCCATCTTCTATAAGTAAGGCTATTGGTTGATAATGACTGCCAAAACTTATTAGGGCATTTTCTTGAGTAGTTGTTGCTCCTCCTCCTAGCAAAAATTGCTAATCAGATTCTGAATCTTCCATTGAATCCATTGAAAGTATTTAGTAATCTCCTTAATCTTATCCAAAGAAATATGGAGTGGGGAGTTCACTGCATTTTTTATTTTAAGTTAGAACTTGCAGACATGATACTAGACTAAAAAGTAGATTTAAAACTTAAAATTGATTACATCAAATAAATGAAGCTAAAATCCTTTTTTATCTAAATCATTTCTTTTTATTTATAAAATATTAATAAATGAGCAAAAGATTTATAATTATATTTTTTGATTTCTATTTTTAGTATGTAAATTTCAATGAATGGGGTTTTGGGGTTTTGGGGTTTTGGGG